TACATGTGAGTTTTTATGCAAGGAATTGGACTATACCAACAAGTGTGGACTGCTATTGATGTATCAACCACCTAGCTTCCTGGGAGCAGCCTGGTATAAGCTCCAGGAATTGCTCAGAGCCAGTGTTAGAGTTTATAAGTTTCAGTCTTCTGTAACCTCAGTCACCTTGTCTTGGAAAGGATGTTCTGGGTAACTCCTGGGTATCTTGAGTTCCATCGCAACTATGGGTTTGCCACAAATAATTGCAGCCCCAACACACATGGAAAAGCATCTTGTCTTTATTTCAGAACAGATGAGATATGACCTGACAATGGAGCATATTAAGATATATCATTTGCCATAGTTCTTCTTTTCCTTGTTAAACTGCAAAACCACAGATGCCTCTGCTAGAGCAGCAGACTCATTAGAATGGGCAGCTGGTAGTATAGTGCAGCAGGCAAGAAACTGGGAGAGTATGCATTTAGAAAAGAAGCCAGCTTGGTGACCTTGGACCAGTCACTCTCTATCAACTCTAGGAAGGAGACAAGGAAAAACTATGTCTGAATTCTTGCTAATAAAGCTGCATTGACTTATTCAAGAAGCCACCAGAATCAATATTGACTTGAGACACCACCTATCCAAAAAGTATGTGTGTATAAAAATATATATGCTCATTTTAATAGTTTATCAGGGTATCAAAGTGATGTGCCAAAATGCACGTTAACACAGGCACAAAGTATATAGCAGCATACAACAGTTCATCAGATGTTAATCAGACTCTTATACTATAAATACAGTTTCTAATACCGGTATGAAATAAATTTATGCAGTAATAGAAATATGACTAAATAATATAAATTTGTGGTTTTTCAGTTAACCACAAATAGTTTTCTACTGATCAGTGACCTATCATTTGATCAATTGGTGAGTTTTGGCTACACTGTATAACCTACCTCAGTTTTATTGCATAAATCTATAGCACACAAATCATTTTGCAATAATATGCAACACACGAAAACATATATTGAAATATCTGCATTGTTGTTATCTAAAAGCTTTAGACTGTTTTATAAAACCAGAATGTGTAGGATAGAGCTAGAAGCAATTGAGAATTTACAACCCTTTCTTTCACTTGATAAAGTATTTTTAAAAAGGAAGGAAATATTTCCTAAGTTAAAAAAAAGAGCTTGTCTGAAAAGAAAACTTTTAGATATTAAACCTCTTATACAAAAGGGTACTGTAGTACAATATTGAAATGACAAAGAATTCATTCTTGGGCTGAGATTTTAAATTTTGTTAAACCTATCCAAGTCAAAAGTGAGCATTTCAAATTGTAGTAGATAGAAAAATATTTGTTCTCATTTCTGCTTTCAATTTAAATGCATTCAAAGTTCCATGACCTTGCTGATCATCATGACAGTGTAACTTCATTAAAATATTTTTAAAATGTGTTTTCCCTTTTTATCAGAAACTCAGCACTTACACCTTGTACACTTTCAAGAAGATGAAGCCAATTTTTATAGAAACTAATATTCTCCATAAGAATGCTACAAAGGATGATATATTTTTCCAAAGTACTCATATATCAAAAGCTCTCTGAATATCGACATTAAAACAATATATATACACTAAAAAGATATATGCATAGAGAACAGCAGCATGTCCTTTTCTGCAAAGATGATTCAATGAATTCATAAATTCTAATGACAATTGACTGCAGCAATTAATTCCATTAATTTTTTTAATCTGAAAAGTGGTTTTATCAAATAGTTTCAAATATAAAATCTGCAATGTTGACAACTTTCTCTTTGAGGTAAACAATAGGCATAGGAAATCTCATCTGTGGATCTAATCCAGACCATAAGAGATAGGTAGGGAGATAGCAAGAAGGAGAAAGAGAGATATCACTTTTAAGAGCTTTGAGAATCCCATTTTCCTGCTCTCCCTGAATTCTGATCCATTCTCCCCAGATGCACAGTATCTGACCCCTTAATTAGAAGCTGTCCCAAGCAAAGTTTTGAAATATCTTCCACTGATATCAATATGGATAGTTTAAGATTTCTGTAATTACAGGGATGAATAATTTTGAGGGGGAATACTGCTAGAAAATGAAATGCTAATACTTTCTTAAAACTCTCCCCTTGCCCTATGGTATGGCTTTAAAATAGTATTTATTGAATTGGATGACAATCACAAGCTATTTTAAAAGCTTCAGTGCCAAACAGAAGATATTTTTAAGAAAGAGTGCTGCTGGGGAGAGAATTTCATACAGGATCCCTTTCAAAACTGCTATCCATTATTATCAGTAGCACGTGGCAGAGTATGTGGGAAAGCATACTGGGAACTTCATGTCAAGTGGAATGAGTATTGCCCAATATTACTACAAAATCCCAAACAGGGATTTTAAAGTCAATTCAGTTCTCCAGCCAAAAGAAATTTGTTCTTATAAAAACACAAAAGAAACACATTGTTCTTATAAAATGCCACATTGCTAGACTACTAGTGGTTTATACAATGTTGTGTATGTCTGTGTAAAAATAATAATAGAATATGATTAATATACTCTAACAATGATAAAGAATAGAATTTCAAGTTTAATACTATTATGCAACAAAAATAATTACATGCATTTTAAGTGTGTAAAATACTTATATATATATTTAAATATATATATATATATATATATATATTTAAATATATTTAAATATATATTTAATCTAATCAGAAATACGTAAAACAGAGAGATGTGGGAAGAAAAAAACAGCTAGATAACTTCTAAGCATTAGTAACTTCACAAATCTTCCTTAGTGATTTAAGCAGCATATGAAAATTCTCAAAGATAGACTCCAGATTAGAACGTGGCAAATTTGATCTTATTTTTCAATGTTTTTCAGAAAATATTCTATAAGCGCGTAAAAGCTTAAAACATAGATTCTGGACCATAAGAAAAAATAAAAATCTATAAGCCAGACACACCTACTTAATGTACTAGCAAACTACTATTTCCTAAGGATGAAAAAGCTGGTACCTATCTGAGTGAATCTCTCTTTTTCGTTGTTGGAGAGCCCATATGTTTTCCCAAATGAAATGCTCAGCTAGTGTGGGTCAGTGAAGGAAGTTACATGCTTTCATAAAAACATTCTTTCTTGGGATCATCTTCTTTCTAGAGGTGCCAAGAATGATGCCTTGGTTGCTTAATTCAGGATGTTCCACATGTTAATTCACAAGATGAATTAACCAAGATGAATAGTGCTGTCAGACTGAAAACTGGTTCACCATGACAGAAATAGTGAGATACAATGACCTTTATATTCAAAAGAACAATATTCCTATAATACCATGACATAATTTTTAAAAAAATTCTCCAGATTTATGCAATAATAAAGGTACATTTGTTTCATGTTTTTATTTCTTATTACACTCTTTCTGATTAGAATTCTTTCACAAATTCAACATTAAGTAAAATATATTTTCATGGCCTAGCTTACTAATAGTCCATTTTTCTTTCACTTTCTTATTTATACTAATGTTTACATAAAATACAATATACTGTATCTTTTTTGTACATTATTAACCAAATGATAGATGATGGGCATACATGGTTTTCCTAAGGCTACATTTTTATTAGTTACAGTTTCATTCTATTCTATCAAAAAAGCATGCTTTTTAAAGCTCTTTTATATTTTTATGGATGAGTGTCCACCATCAGTCATTATATTGAAAAAGTTACTAAATTATATTTCTGAATGTCATGATACAAGCCCCACTCTTTTCATATTTGTATCCCAATATCTGACCCAAATATATAAGTCACAGGGTTTGTACCATGATGCACATATCATCTCTTCCTCGTTCCTGTCCTGCTGCAGACACCAGTGCTTTTGTATATAGATTGTCTAAACTTTGCTTATACATTTGGTTGCATATATATGTATGTGAGTTTACATTAACTAAATAAAAAGATTTAGGCTCAACTAAAAAGGTGCCCTAAATAATAATGCTTGACAGATTTTTTTAAAAATGTATTGTTTTTAATAGCAAGTAAACTTTAGAATAAGGAAATTTTATCTCTTCTCTCATTGATCTTAAGCAATTCTTTGGTACTACGTGTGTATCATCTAACAACTACAAACATTTGCTTTTATCTATTATTTTTACTGAGGATAATCTATACAAATTTACAGAGTAATTCTATATATTTATTCAGAAAGGAGTCAGTTTATTTCAAATCGTATTTAAAAGTGACTTTCAATCAATAATCAAATCAGCTAATTAAAATGAAAGGTAATTAATCAATTATTATTTCTTTAATCGGCTGTTAATATTTGCTGTATCTTGACGATTCATCTAATGCAAGAAAAATCTTCAAATTCAGTGAGGACACTGAATGGTCTCTAGAAAAAATGCATATATTTTAAAGAAAAAGTGAATTTAGATAACTCAGAAGGTTGTAAACATTCATGCCACAATTTACAGCTTTGGACAGCATATTGCAAAGTCAGATTTTAAAATATTTTCTTTGAACAGTTGGTCAGAACCGGTATGAAATCTTCTAAATCAAATTAGATCATTTAACTTGATTGTTACTCCACTTGTAACAATACCATTATGAAAGTTTGTGTATTTATATGCTACTTGAAGAATAAATAAATACTGCTGCATTGGCTGTTTTATATTCATCATGGACACCTGTTAATATTCTTTGATTAAATACTAATACATATACAAAATTAGTTATCCATGATATGCATTTTGATGTTATGTGTATGTATAGTACTCAAAAGTAACTTCTAGAATATTAATAGGGCAAGCTTAGAAATAATTTTTTATGGGAGTGCAGTTTGTACATGATTCCTCAATGATTACCCCTAGGCCATTATTTACTACCAACTACCCTATCTGCGTTAGTACATGTTTAGGTACCATGAAAGAACTATTTTATGCAGCCAATTGTTTTTATAAATTATTAAATGTGTTTACTGCCCATCTCACTACAATTATTAAACATTTTGATGTAATACCTTGTGCCTGAGCTGCAGAGCTGTGAGAATAACCGAGAGCCAGGAGCGCAGTCTCCACTAGCTGACTAAAAAGCACATCTTTACGAACCAGAACAAATTCTGCATGTTCTTCTCGATTGTCATATTCAAGGGAAGTGTCCAGTTGTTCCACAACACAAAAGACGGGGATCATCAAACCTGGAGAAAGAAAAATTATTGAATCCAAATTAGAAACTGTAAGAAAAGTTTCTGAATTAGTACAATAATGTATCTTGTTGCAAATTTCATTACCAAGTACAAGTACTCCTTGACTTATGACCACAATTGGGTCAAATTTCAGTTGCTAAGTGAGACATTTGTTAAATGAGTTTTGCTTCATTTTATGACCTTTCTTGTCACAGTTGTTAAGTGAATCACTGCAGTTGTCAAGTCAGTAACACAGTTGTTAAGTGAATCCGGCTTCCCCATTGACTTTGGTTGTCAGAAAGATGATCATGTGACCCCAGGAAATTGCAACCATCATAAATATGAATCAGTTGCTAAGCATCTGAATTTTGATCACATGACCATGGGTGTGCCACAATGGTCTTAAGTGTGAAAAATAGCCATACGTCAGCTTTTTCAGTGCTGCTGTAAGTTGAGGACTATTTGTACATTTAAGAAAACCAGAAATAGGACATACTATATATCTGTTAAGCTTATATCCCATCTGCTCTTCATGTAGTAAAAGTGGCATAATTAGTTTCTCTCCTCTGGTTTATCCCCACAACAATAAACCCTATGAGGTAGGTTAGTCTGAGATTTCCTCAGTGAGTTAAAGTTGAGTTCTTGGTTTTACTCTAATACCCTATCATTACCTCATACTGATACTGAAGCAAATAGTATTTGGGGTATATTGACTCAGAAGATGGAGATTACATCTAGGTGTTAGAAATGAACTCCTCCTAAACTTTCTTGATTGGGAGTCGCCCAGAGTTTGGTATAAGATGGGCAGCTATATAAATGTTTTAAATGAATAAACTTTCTTAAATACTTCTAAAGTAGTAGCCATCTCACTGTTTATTTTTCTGTAATAAATTGCATAATCTCACTTTAAAGGCAGGCAGAACTATTTTATACAAAAATATGAAACAAATAGAAATAACAAAAGACAGTAATGTAATCCCTAACTATAGTAAAAACAAGGCTCAAACTCTCGTGCCTTTTTATCCCACTTGTGCACTGCCAAACTTTTCTCTTTTGGGTAAGAGAGATGCCTCCCACTTTTTATGGTAACAGGTTGGGTTGCTCAGTTCTGATCATCCGGGAACTAATTCTCACAGGTCTATTTCAAAAGAGCACTGAATAATCAAGTAGGTTCAAATGAAAGCATGTGCTAAGTAAGGATTAATAAACAGATTATACAATATTCTCTAAAGAAAATAATATAATTGTAAATAATTTAACATGAATCAATCACATAATAATAAATCAAACTATGAACAATCAACTTGCTAGGTCCATTTCATCATATTCAAGTATGTTGTTTATTATGCATATTTAATTATGTAAAGTGCTTTCCAAGCTGGAGAAATTCATCTTCAAAACAATCAATTTAAATGCTTCTTGTTTTTCTATTACCTGTACAGCAAACTGACACTTTAAAATGAAACATGGCTTGCACTCATAACCCTATTGTCAGAAATTGTAGTTGTCTTTCTGATCAAGAGTCTTCCTTTTACAAGCTTAACTTGGCCAACCATTAATGAGTTGCTAAATTTCTAGTAATATCTATGACTTGCAGAAGTCATTTGGCACCTTCTTTTCATTATACTGTACATTGTTCCAGGTTTGATTTTTCTACATTGTGTATCTATGTTTATTGATCTGGAACCATAAAAAAATGAAGAAAGAAGATGAGTAGAAGTCCTCAATGGAAGAAGGAGTATACAAGATAGAAGAGGAAAAGATGTTTTGAGAATAGGTTGTTTTGGGGAAACATTGTGGGTTCTTTCACAAAATGGCTATTAGTGGGTACCTGCCTATTCATAAAAAGGCTAATAAAAAACACAATGTTAAAATTGAATCAAGAATAGTTTTAATAGGGTGTTTCCCCTGAGTTAATAAAAATGTAAAAGTTATCCTCAGAATTTGAGTCAAATGTTTTAGCATTACCATCTATGCCCATAACATGAAATTTTAATTCCATACTCCAATCTATATTCAAAAAATCCCTGCAATTAAAGCCGCCACTAATTTTTCCCAAAGGAGAGATTTAAATAATGAGTAAGTTACATTTTACAGTTTCACCAACAGTTGCTCAAACCAGAAAAAGAATATTACTGAGATATAATACTTCAGGAAAATAATTGCTTACAGTATGCTTGATAGTTCTGATCTATTATTTTTAACAAAAAGGTACACTTATATAAATTAGGTGTATATGACCACTTGCAAGGTCAATCCAACATTCAAAACTTCTCTCCCAACTAATATACTCAAATATTTGCAAGTAGAATTGTAGTGTCTGTTTTATAGTGCTTCTCAAATATTCTGCTGTCTTCACCACCAGTACATTCATATCATACCAACTTATAACTAATGTTTTAGTATTCACTCCTTCGGAAGAAGTTCATCCCCTCATAAAACAGGGAGAGAGAAAGTCACCAAAAAGGAAGCAAGGAAGACATTTCTCTAGGATATAGAGTATCCCCTATTATAAATATATTTTACATAAATACTTTATATAAAAATGCTTCAAATACTAAGAACATCTACATTTTATTAAGTGTAATGAGAGCAGCAAAGTACTTAATGAATTAAAAAAGGGTAGCAAGTGTATGTCTAGCTTTCTCATAAATTCTAAAAAATAGAATTTATCTGAAAACTAAATATAGCAATTTAATAGAAATATGCAACAATATACTTTTAAAAGAAAGCAATGCTGAAGTTCTGCATTTTTGTGGGATAGTGGATCTCAAAGATCATTTCTTTCTTCTTTTTGAATCTATGCATATATTTATTTATTTAAAATATTTAAAAGCAGAATCACTTCTAGTAATTCAATCAAGTCACATAACACTATATAGTAATTTATCTCCAATAAGTGAAAATTTCAAATATCCACAAATCGTAGTCTACAACCAAAGGAAAATCTTCTGAATTTCTTTAAATCACCAGGCTTGAGGTTAGCAGATTCATATTCATAACACTACAATTATTTTGGAGTATAAAATAAAATAAAATATATTTGATTCTTACTCTAAAAGTTTTTTATTTAGTTAACACAATTGTGTATTTCTTCCAATTATATTAAATCTCAGACTGGTTTAGAATCAGTTAAACCTGCATATATTGACAGTACAAATCTCAATAATTAAAACAATCCCACGCATATTTTATTTATTTATACTTATGCTTAAAATCAGTCAAACAATCTTTGGTGATCAATGATCACCAAAATTAATTAGCAGAATAATTCTCAGAATATTAACATTCATTCTTCTCCAAGTGATAAATCTAAAGCATTAATAGGTATCAAATAAATGTACAGGTAGTCCTCAACTTACAACAGTTTATTTAGAGACCATTCAAGTTCACAATATCACTGAAAAAATTGACTTAGACCAGAGATCGCCAACCTTTTGGACCTCAGGAACCACCAAACTCATAATTTTAAATCATGGGGACCACTAATATGAATTTTGACTGACTGTGGCTTGCTGACATTGGTGGGAGAGGGAAAGAGAGAGGTCTGATTTAACCTCTCTCCCTCCCTCCCTCCCTCCCTCTCCCTCCCCCCCCTCTCTCTCTCACACACACACACACACGCACGCACAAACACACAGAGGCAGGGGTGGGATTCAAATTTCTAGCAAGCAAACTCACAAAATTAACTAACAACACATCATATATGTAAATATTGAATGTTTTATTTAAAAAAAGAGCAACTTTTACCCAAAATCAGGCAAAGCAGACAGGCAGATTGAGTTGCTCACAGAATTACAGATTCACTTTGAGATCTGTGTTTCTGCCATCGGTTAGCTGAGTCTGCACTGCTTCAGTCCTAAGGAAGGTTCGGCTCTGCTTAAAAGCAGAACAGAAGATATAAAGATTATCTAGAAAGCAAGAAATCCAATGATTTCCTGCTTTCTAGCTCATCTAAATCTCCCAGCACAGCAGAACAGCTGATGGTTAGGGGAAAAAAGAAAAAATAGCAACTTAGCAGGCAAGTTTGCCAGGTAAGGAGTGAGTAGGCGGGAGGATTCTCGTGGGCCATGTGGGCGGCGCAGCCTTGTGTTCCTACAAAACCTGGATTAATTGCTTTGGGGGTTGCTCTGGGGGTGACATTTCTCTGTGGACCCCCAAAATTTTCTTGCGCACCACCAGTGGGCCGCGACCCACCGGTTGGCAACCACTGACTTAGACTGTTTTTCACACTTACAACCATTGCAGCATCCCAATGACCATGTGATCAAAATTCAGATATTTTGAAACTAACTCATATTTATGACAATTACAGTGTCCTGGGATCATCTGATCCCTTTTAGCAACCTTCTGACAAGCAAAGTCAATGGGAAAGCCAGGTTCACTTAATAACCCTAACAATTATGGTGACTAGCAAAATAGAAAGCAAAACATAAACTTTTAGTGTCTATTTGTATTCCCAAATTTATCTTCAGATAAAGGAACCAGTGGCTATAATGTAATATGCTATGAACAAGTTGAGTAGTATTAGAAACAAGGCTAGAGTATGGGGGGGGGGGGAATGGGGTTATTTAGTATGGTTGGGATACTTTGTTTCAGTGTAAAGATTAAGAAATGGCCTGCATATAAATACACAGTTTTCTGATGTGGCAGGGGTTAACTTTATTTAGTTAATTAATTTATATCTACACAATTAACAAAACAATATGTAATCTTAAAAAGATTTTTTTAATTAAAATAAAACTAAAATACAAATTAAGAAGAAAAGAAATCTAGCTTATATTTTATACTTAATAATTAAGTATAAGTGCAGTTACTAATGAATATGAATACAAGACTATTCAAGATATTACAAAATCTTTGCAATATTACCATATTGAGTAATTTTCTATAATGATATTAATTGAATGAATGAATGAATGCTTCGATTAGTAGAAAATATTGCCTGTTCAAAACAGATAAATCACACATTTTCAACAACCCTTCCTTAATATCTGGAATAATATCAATTT